ACTGAAGAGATATACACTAAATCGTCTTGAAGTAATTATCTTTCATATATTATATAGGCGTTGAGAAACGACGGAGGAAGCACAAACAATCGCCGACGAAACCAGTACGAAACTACATAAACTATATAAAATAATAAACAGACACTTCAACAACTAACCAAAGATATTAGTAATTCAACAAACAGTGATAAAAAGTGGAATAAAGTGTTTTATCATGTGATCGAGGGATCCGCGCTGGTATCCGTGAGCGTTTCCTTCCCTTTGTTTACATCCTTGAGGCGCGGCTTCACTCCTATTTCCATCAGTTCGTCTTTAGCTTTTGTTGAAAAATGTTGTCTGTTGTTGGGCTTCTCTTCATTTATTTGCTTTCCATCTGCCAAGCAGATTCTATTCACTGTACGTCATCACAATGTCAACCACGTAAGTTACAATAATCTAGTGTATTTTAGGACTGTATTATATTACTATTGGTTAAACAACTTAGGCTCAGTGATGAAAGCCTACGCTATAGGCTATATATTTTTAAAAATTGGGGGAGGGGTAGAACAAGGGTGGTTACTCTCCTTTTTCCCCAGTTTTTAAATATTCAAAAATCTGTATCTCATTAACCGCTTCCGCTTTTTTTTTTTTTGCCAAATATGATTTTTGTGTCTTTGAAAAATCAGTTCTACAACATACATAAAAAGAAATTAAAAAAAATCTCCATATCCTGGCTTTGAAGTGGGAAGCCAGCCCAGGTCCATAAATTTGTCAAAAAGATAAAAATTAAATGAAGATAAAAAGAAAATTTTAAGTCTGTAAGTGCCATCTCCGGCCATCTGAAGGTGCCATAATTATTATTTTTCTTTTTTTACTTCAGCCCCAACAATGGTGGCCAGGCTGAGGTAGTTGACAAAGTTCCTCCTTGGTACCGTCTATTTCAAATTCCCAGATCCGCCTCTGATATCATATTATTATCTATTTATCCGTTAAAAACATTCAGAATGCTGTGACAAACATGATAAAAAAATACGAGCACATCTAAAATCCCCAATGGAATTTGCGACTTCGACCCAAAAAGGGTCTCCCAGTCTCAGAAGGCCACGGGGCCCCCCGTCCCCCAGCATTACCCCATTGCTTTGGCTTATTAAGAGTAGCGTAATATTAATCTCTTACTATAGACTGAAACGTTCTCGAAATGCCTGGTTAAGATGTTATTAAATATTTCTGACTATCTAGTGTTGGTCGATAGTACATTTTTTTTCATTCACCATTGACGACTAGTGTCTTAAGTTTATTGCTGTGATCTTAAATGTGTATCCTTTCTACATCAGTGTGATTGAATAATCATTGTAATTATTGTGGATATAATATAAGTTTTACTTCGTTAATTCTACAGGAATTCTTCCTGACCATTACTGGACTCTCGACAGCAGGTGCTTGGATGACCACACTGCGTGCTCTGAAAATATTGGCACAAGTGGTACTTGTGCCACAGAAGAGGTTCCTGAAACATCTGCCAGCCCAACTGGCGTGACGTCAAGATCTCTCCCAACATTGAGAGGTCCACGCGGAAACTGTGTCATATACTTAGATCAAACTCAGAGTGACAGTATTGATTTCGGTGAATTTGCTAACACCTGTTTGACGCGTTTGGAACTTTGCAAAAGAGGTCTGACAGTCTCCGTCTGGATGAAGATTGATACTGACAGAGATGGCCGCATGTACTACGTCAGCTCCGGAGGCCAAACAGGTTCCAGCCGTGGTATCGCCATATTCGGCAGCAGAAACATAGAAACGTATGGTAACACGTTCACACTGACAACGTATGTTACTGATCTACAAACAACATGGATTGCGGAAACTCAGGAGCTTCCACCAAATGGCCGTTGGACGCACGTAGCTTTTACATGGAGCCAACACCACGGACTGCGGCTCTTAATAGATGGCCAGCAAGAAGATCAGGATAGATTTGGAACTCCATCCGACAATAATAATTATCAATATACAAGGTTAATACTTGGTCGACCTAACAGTGTTGAAAATTACTTCGGGACAGCTGGATTCTCTGACCTCAGAATATATTATCAGCATCTGGAGAATCACGATATTGCTGAGGAATTGTCTAGTGACATATTTTCTATACATTAGTACATTTTAGTGGTGATTGTCTTAGCATCCATTTTTGGAAGTACCCTTTCAAAATTATAATTGAATTGTGTATAGGCCTATGTATTGTATTTGGAGATATGGCTTAAGCTTAATAATTTCAAATTAAGACCCTTAACTTCTAGTTACG